CCCCCGTGGCCAGGCCTCTGTTTCAGTAATGACGATTTTCCCTGACGTGGATTGGGGTTTTTTATTGCGCTCGACGATCTTTTCGACTAGTGATAGTGAGGAAACTATTCCCCCCAGTGAAGCGTCGGGATGTTCGCCCCCGCATGCACTCGGGGGTGTACCCTATCGTGCCCAGGGACGGAGTACATCCCCCGGGGTAAAAATCCCCCGGGGCCCCACACCCTTTTAGTAGTTTATTTGGGGAGGATGGGTGTGGGGGTACACTTGGATGGATGGCCAAAAGGCATCAGGATGGGTGTTAAATTTTTGCTGGTGGGGGTAGTGGCAAAACCCCCATGCGTGACTCACGTGCCCCGCGGGACCCCCGCTGCCCGACTTTTCATTTTCAAGGACAAAGCGGAGCGTCACCCACCAGCCCCCACAAACCACAACCCCCCCGTACAACCACCTATATGTCCAGTTTTCCACCAAACAATCCGTAAACTGGGATTGGCAGCCAAAAAACCCAAAATTTTTTCCCAGCCCTCACCACTTTGAAAGACTCTCAAATGGGGGAATTTTACCAAACCTTTTCCCCTTTGGGAAACCAAAGGCCAATGAACTGGAATTCTTTGAATTATTCTTTGAACCCCGCCATTGTGGAAAAATTTTTGCCAGGGAAAGTTAAAAAGTAATTTTTTGAAAAACCATGGGAAATACGAAAATTTTTTATCAACCACAGTCAAGCTAACACAGGGGAAAGAGGGCACTGTTGCAGAAATGGAATTTTCTTTTTTTCAACAATAATGCTTATGGGCCCCCACGTCTAAAAGGATAATATAAAAAGCATACCCGGTCCACAGAAACGGCTAATTTGTACCCCATCCTTTATGAAAAAATACCAGGGGAACAGGATTTTTTTTTACGTTTCGATGTTGCCTTCCCCCCTGACAAAACCAGGCCTGACGAAGGGGACAGGGTTTTAAAAAATTAGAAATTTTTTTCATGTATCTCAAACAAAAGTTCCCGGAATCCCTTTTTTCCATTCAAGAATCTTGTAATTGACGAGTCCTTTTGATTTTTTTCCCAAAGGGAGGGCTTTTCCCTTCAAGCTATATACCGGCAAGAATGAACCGCTTTTTGGGATAAAAAATTTTTCGTACTCTGTGATTGTGACAGGGGGCCTGGTGGGTTTGGGTATTTTTTGTATACACGGGGATTAAAAAAAAAGAAAGGGTACCAAGATGTTATTTGGGATCCAGGTGAAAGTAGTGAAAACCCTTTTATGGCACCTTAACTTTGGGAAGGGGCATACATTATATACCGTAACCCGGGGACACAAACCCCCTTACTCCGTGATTTCCAAGGATGAACAAGAAAAGATGTTGTGGTAAGGGGAACCCGTGCGTTCTAATCGTAAACCCTATTAACCCAGCCCCAATCAGGTGTTCGTGGATGACTGCAGGTGTTTAATGCCAAAGACAACATGGGGATGAAAACGAGATGTCCATTGTTTTACAACCATTTTTACCGTAATGGAAAAGCAAGACATGGCAAAGTTTATCGAGTGAAAATAATGAAAGTATTCGAAAACCAGTGTAAGTGATTGGGTTATACAAAAAAACCCTGCGCTTGGTTTTACAAATGTGACATCAAAATTGGTTTTTTTTACGTGTTCCGTAAGATTACAAGTGGGACATGAAAAATTTTTTTTTCCAACTCATTGGGCATTTTTAATTTCTGAAAGCATATAATAATTTCCCAAATAAAGACGGGGAACAGACCACCGTAGGTGAATTTTTTTTTGTCTGTTGTCCCGAAAAATCAAATGAAGTTTCCAGGGAACCCAAAACCTGCAATACAACAAGGTCCCCCGAATTCATCACAATATACCCAAGCTTTTGAGGAGAGAAGGTTATCCCTTTCATGAAACAGCTTCCTTCAACTTTAAAAGAAATTTTGCTCAGAAAAGATTCAATTTCCCGTACACAAACCCAAAAAGAGGCAACAAAGACCCCAAAGACAAACCCGGGTTTTTTGTTAGGAATGTAAGGGGCCTCTTTGCATGGTTCCTTTTTTTCAAAGGGGTTCCACAAGCTCCGCAGTTCTAAAACCCCTGTCCAGTGATTGTAAAATTTAAAAAATAAACATTAGTAATTTTAAAAAATATTTTTTCATGTTTATTGTAATAAACAACATGGGGAAACAATAAAATGATAAAACTTTAGTGCGGTTATTGTGTTCAATACAGTGATATATATTTTATCAATTATATACAGTATTGGCTCTCAGGCCCCCAAATGTTAGTAGGAATAGAAAAAAATTGGAAAAGAAAAGAAAAAACAACTAAAACAACAAAATAATATAATACGCGTATGTGGAATTCGTCGATGTTGCCGCCACCACATCATTTTCTATAAACTTCTTGGCACTGTATCTCGGTAAGTAATGATCAGATTCTAATTTTTTTTGTTTTATTACCTTCACAAAAATATGCTATTTAATTCTGTAAGAAAAAATAATTTTTTTTTTTTTTCAAAATTTCTTGGACACTGGTGCGTGACTTCAGATTTTGGCCTTGGACCCTGAAAGGGTTAAGTAGACCTGGCAACAGCGAGAGTACAAAGGGCGAGCCTCATGACAAGGCAAGAGGGAGGTCGACGGCAAGATGTATTAGAATGGTCATCGGCACCACAGACTGGGCATTCGGCTATAGATTGCAATATTTTGCTGGGTGGCAAAATCGCCAGCAATTCCTACACTGTTGCGGTGTAGGGATCTCCTTCCGAACTTGTAACCGATGTCCTGCTACATAAACAGAGGATGGGAGTTCACGGCTGTCAAAGGTTAAACGAGCCACATTGCCTGCGGGCGGGAAGAACATAAGTGTCTACCTTGAGAATTGGGAGATCTTGGAGTTCCAGCTGTTCGAGAATGTCATTGCCACATGTCTGGAAATTCTGTTTGACTATGGTACGGGGCAGAATAACAGTACCACTACAAGAATTGAGGGAATGATGTTTTTCAATAGTGATAGGAATAGTATCGATATGTGAAAGAGAAAGATCATGAGCTTGGGTAGAATTCTGGACTGTGATGATGCGCTTACCACTCTTAACCCTTTCAGGGTCCAAGGCCCAAATCTGGAGTCACGCACCAGTGTCCAAGAATTTAAAAAAAAAAAATTTGTTATTTTTTCTTATGAAATCACAGAGAATCTTTTTGTGAAGGTAATAAAACAAAAAGTACGAAATTTGGTGGAAAATTGACGAAATTATGCTCTCGCGAATTTTGATGTGTCAGCGACATTTACGAATTGGCGATTTTGCCGACTTTGACTCCCATTTTAGGCCAATTACATTATTCCAATCAACCAAATTCTTAGCTATTTCACTAGCACAAGAAATCGCCAAGTCAACTGTTTCAACTACAAAATAAAGTGATCGGAAATTATTAATTTGACCAATTTAACACAAAGTTCAAAATATTCCAATTTCAAAATAGGGTCCAGAATAAACAATGTAGGCATTCCTGGCACTAAACTAACGTTTCCTCTGTTCATTAGTTATGTTTTGAGGCTTTACATGCTGTATAGTCCTTGTGGCTTAGCGCTTCTTTTTTTATTATAATAATAATAATAAATGAGGCTTTACAAATAAATTCCATTTTGATTTTTTATTCACATAATGAATTTTTATTCACACCAAAAAATAGAAGATTTACTGTTATGCAATACTGTAATAATTGTATAAATATCATCACCATATTTGTGAATGTATATTAGACCCACCAGCTGACGTGTATTAGACGTGTGAGGTCGTTTGTTTACTCTTGAATATCGGCAAAAATTTAACATTTCCACTACTTTGAGCTCAGTTTCAAACCATTTCCAGTGCTAAAACCAATCAAAATCATCTCTATTTCTGTAATATGTCTTCCATTCTATCAAATGAGACCAAGAAATTGCAAATACAACTATAAAAAACATACGAAAAAACACTGCAAAGTTGCTGTTTTAATCAAAAAATCATGATTTAAGTTTTTTTCTCTCATTATACACAGTGTGCTGCAGGATCTGTTTTATGTGGTGCACACATACCACATAGATGTATTCTCTCATATCTAGGCCCAAATGTACCACTCACAGTTTATCAGAGTGAGCTGAGCTCATGGCGTAGATCTACGGTTTGGACCCTGAACGTAAAGCCGTAGATCTACAGGACGGACCCTGAAAGGGTTAAAGAGCATGAAAGGAAATATCTCTACCAACGTGGCGTAGGAGCGCTTTGCCAGTACTATGGTCAGAAAGATAGGCAGTAGAAGTCGGTCGTAAAGTAAAGAATTTAGTCCATTGTGTGGTCCGAAACCGAGTGTGAAGAGGGAGTGCATGACGTGTCGGTCTTTTCCGAGTAGAATGGGAAGGTAACGAAGTAACATCGTCAGGAGATTGTCGTTGGCATTTAGAAGTGGGACCAGAGTCGGTCCGACGTGAGACGGGCTGGCGATTTGAAAATCGTCGCACCAAAGAGGGAGAGGTCGGAGGAGGAGGAAAGGAAAAGGGGAGGATGGGATATTATTATTATTATAATCAAAAAGAAGCGCTAAGCCACAAGGGCTATACAGCAGGAGGATGGGATAGGGAAGGAGGGATTGGGGGGTAATTAGGTTCGGTCTGAGGAAGGAGACCGACAGGTCTAATTCCTCAGACCAAGAGCCTCTTCACCATGCCAAGGAGCCCTCCTTGAAGAGGACTGCACTGTACAGTAGTCTACCATTCTATCAAGAAATTCTTTCTAAAAATCTTTCAGTGCTTATTTTTACCTAGTTTACATTATTATAATCATAACTAACTGTTCAACCCATAAGGGTAGATATAAAAAAAAAAAAAAAAAAAAAATGTCCCCTAGTTTATAATTGTAGCCTCTGTTCAGGTCACTCAGAAAATCATGTTTTTATATCTTTACGTAATCTTGTAAGTTTTTATCATCACATTTTCCTGTTATTTTTAAACATTCCGATAGTTACTTTGTGTAATGGAGAAGACTGTGGTCTTTGTCGATGGCCAAGGCATGTGAAGACTGATTAAATGCTGCGCAATGCAGAGAGGAGTCATCATTAGGTTCTGTAAGTTTGGCTTTCTTCAAGGAGGAGTGTTCATACATCACAGTGTATTTGGTGTTACAGAATTGTCTTAAATACCTAGTCAATAACTGTCTGGGGTAATGTTTTACAGGAAAAATGGTCCCTGGGTCCCTACTTTTAGTTCACTTTTCACTTTTAGTTCACTAATGTAATGTGTATTTATTTCAGGATCAATATACACATTTAACACTGAAATACCAGCTGATGTTCAGAAAATGGCTAAAGATGAAGGAGTGTCTATCAAGAAGAACAATGTGATTTATCATCTTGTAGAAGATCTGAAAATAGAGATATCACAAAATTTGCCGCCTAAAGACATAGAAGAAATTTTAGGTGAGTATTACATACAAACAGCTTTATAAATTAAGATTGAATATATGTATAATACATGTTTACTGATTACAGGTAATCATTAGCATTTCAGCTACTGTAACCCTCAAGGGAGGTTCCTTGGTGGTGGTGAGGGGCTCTTGATCTAGGGAATTGGATCCGTGCTCCAGTTCCCTGAATTGAGCCTGTGAATACCTTCCATCCCCCCATCCTTACAGGCACCGTATAATCCCTATGGGTTTAGTGCTCCCCTTGATTATAATAATTCAGCTACTGTATTGTATAGGGTGTTGAATTTATTATTATAATCCTGGGGGAGCGCTAAACCCATAGGGATTATACAGCGCCTGTAGGGGGATGGAAGGTATTCAGGCTCAACTCAGGGAATTGGAGCACAGATCCAATTCCCTAGATCAAGAGCCCCTCACCAGTGTCAAGAACCTCCCGAGGGAATAGGATGTTGAAAATGTATGCTAATTCAACGACAAGAATCTGGTATGGCAAGTTGACCTATACGATAATATATGCAAAGTGCGAGGTTCTGACCAGAGCTTTGGCGAGATGGGGAAGGAAGATGGGTAAGTTTATTCAGGTATACACAAATACAGTTACATAGATTATCATACATAGCAGCATATGTGTAGAGAACCTAGGATAACCCAAAAAAGTCAGAGTGACTTATTTCCATTGGGAATGTGTGAAAGGTTAGGGGGGGCAGAGGTGGGGGTTTTAAAGGGTGGCTAATTCACTTTGGTACAATTTGAATGCGTGTGCATGCGTGTTGTGTAATTCGTGGAAAAGTTATGTTTATAGGATAGGTATACCTCCTGCCTGGTGTATACCAGTGAGCCCCTGAATTGGAAGGATGCATACTGTTAGCAATTGCCTTTGATTTTTTTTTTTTTTTTTTTTTTGCAAGAGGTCGATCGTAAGGCTGCAGTTGCAGGTCGTTTGATGGAGATTGGTTGCTCACCTGGAGTTGGTTGGCTAAGCAGTTTCTGAGGTGGTGTCCTGCTGGAGGATGATTGTAGATGTTACAAGGTTAGTTGTAAGGTGTTGACTGACAGAAGTGGGTCACCCAGAATTGGGGAACGTTAATCCATGTTACTGGACGTAGAATGGTTCTGGTGGTATCCATTCTTCTTCTTCGGGGAGGTCACTTAGGATTTTTGGTCGAGGGAAGTTCTTGTGGATGAAGCGTCAGACTCTGTTGGAGGGTCATTCTTTGGGATCTGTGGGGGGAAGGGGTGCTAATGGCGTAGTCGGTCGTGTTCAGTGGTTGGGGTGGGTTCTCTCTGTCAGGTACATAGAGTTCCTGCATGTCATATAGTTGTCTCTTTAGTTTATCTAGCCTGGTGTTAATTGCAGTGATTCTCTGTTGTGTGTGCAGGTCTTCGGTCCTGATTCTGAATCTGGCGCCAGTGATAAAGTGGAGGGCTCTGTTTTGGACTCTTTGGAGTTTTAGCATGTTGGTTTTGGTTGTTAGCGACATGGGTACACAAAGGTATTCTAGCAGAGGTCTGATCATCATCTTGTACAGGCGTTGTTTGATGTGGGAAGGGGGCTGCCTTGAATTGGTAAAGTTGGCCAAAGCAGACTTTCGCTAGGTTCACTTTTTTGGTTATGTGGGATGTAGAGTTGATTAATCTGTCGATCTCATATCCTAGGATCTTGTTTGGATTCCTAATAGCAATTTGGGTGCCTCTGATGGAAATGACCCCTCTGTCTTCCATGGTTAATGGTAAGCAGCCGATGGTGCTGATGAGGACTGGAGGAGATCGTTGACATATATATTGAAGAGTATAGGGCTGAGGCAAGAGCCTTGGGGTACTCCTGCTGTCGGCGTGAAGGGAGTTGCTGCCGTGTCATGGAAGGTGGGGATGATACTTCTTCCTGTTAAGAAGTTGTAGATGAGCCTGAGAAAGGTCCAGTTGTGGTCAGGGAGGTCTGCAAGTTTGAAAATGAGACTGTCGTGCCACAGGCTGTCGAAGGCCTTGTGTACGTCCCTGGTTGCAATGAGGGCCAGGTTCCCTTGCTTCCTCGGCCACAGCATCGAAGATATTTATAGCATGCTGTGTGCTGCGGTGGGACCTGAAGCTGAACTACCTTTCAGAGAGTAGGTGGTTGAACTCCATGTAGTAACTCAGCTTGTTAGAAACTATTCTTTCGAAGACTTTTCCCGTGACTTCGAGTAGGGAGATGGGCCTGTAGTTCTCGGGGTTGCGGTTGGCCATCTTGAATGCCACTGGGAAATATGTGCAAGGCTGAATATATTATGTTGTATAAAAAGTATGTAAATTACCTATTTATACTGACATATTTGTAACTACAGGAATGGAGCTAAGCTCATATATGCCCAGTCTTTGGATTATCTTACTTTTTAGTTTCCAGTGGTCATAGTGCTTACTATCTCTTGTAAATCATTCAATTGCTCTCTGGTACTTTGAACAGCAGTAGATTAACAATCTACAGTGGTTATATAGCTGTTACTTTGGATACTCTGGCTCACCAGTATTATTCTGTATGAAAATGAATTTAATATCTACAGTGCACTCAGTGGGGAAGTGGAACAGAATTCTTCCTCTGTAAGCCATGTGTGTCATAAGAGGTGACTAAAATGCCAGGAGCAAGGGGGTAGTAACCCCTTCTCCTGTATATATACAGTATTACCAAATGTAAAAGGAGAAACTTTTGTTTTTCCTTGTGGGCCATCCCGCATCAGTGGGATACGGCCGGTGGTTTGAAAGAAAGATTTACAGTGCAGGTAGATTGCATAGCAATGTATTTCTCATTATCCTTTTAATGCGAGAGCCAAAGTTGAGAAGTAATTATATATTAAATACCTAGCTTGATGAAGTTTTAAAGAAAATTTCTATATACTATGCATATATAGAGTTGGTGATGTATCATTCATCATCTTACAAGTGAATGTAATTTAAGGGTCTTCAATCTTTCTTCATACGGAAGATTTCTCATGCTATGAATTAACTTTGTCATTCGTCACTGAATGTTTTCTAATGAATTAATCTTATTACCATATTAATCTTATTACCATAAATGAAAAAAGAAATATGAGCCGAAAATGACTAAATATCATACAGCAGCATGATGGCGTTTACATATACGTATTAATGTTGATTACTTGTCAGATTGTTATTATAATCAAAGAAAGCGCTTAACTGACAAGGGTCATACAACTATTTGTGTAAGAATGATGATAATGAGGTCAAGATCTTGAAGACTGCTACATGTTGAAGTACAGCATCTTCCACTTACTGCATTCAAAATTTTCCTAATTTTAAAATTGTAGATAATAAACAGTGCAGTAAAAATAAACAGGATATTACAGGATTAATTTAAAAACTGAATAGTATATTAAATGTATGTGTTAGGTATTGGCAGTCTGCTAAGGGTAGCCACTATTGGTTGTAGTGGTTTATAATCATGCTAGAGGTACCCGTGTGAGGAAAGTCCTAGTTGAGATGATTATGAGCTTCCATTTAGACCCATATTCCACAGGGTGACCCAAAAGTCTGGACACACAGGAAATATTACTAATAGTCTGTTTTTTCCTGCAGTTACTGCATTGTGCTCATGTGAATCTTGTAAAGCAAGCTTCACTTTGCATCGCTAATGGTGGACAACGTGCAGAAGATATTGTTCATTAATATATAATTATTAAAAAAATGCAATTTCACCTGTGTGTCCAGACTTTTGGGTCACATTGTACACATTTTTCATATTTCCATTATTTTAAAATTGAGTTTGCTGGACATTCATTCTGCCATTTTTTCTCCTTTTATACGTGTTCACCACTCATTTAACCTCTTGCTCTATATATACTCCCTCTTCTGTATAGCATTTTTACATTGTTAAAAACTTTATGCTGACTTTCTCCCTTATGGTATTTTTTGCTTCAATCATCATTCCACACCTACCTTCCTATATTATTATTATTATAATCAAAAAAGAAGCGCTAAGCCACAAGGGCTATACAGCTACCTTCCTATAGCTACACACACACACACACACACAAAAAAAAAATAGAATAAAAGTCACATTGTGGCTTAAACAAATTGCAAAGTTTAACCCTTTGAGGGTTTTCGTCGTACTAGTACGTCTTACGCGTAGGGGTTTTTGACGTACTAGTACTCATAAATTCTAGCGACCTCAAATCTAGTGGGAGAAAGCTGGTAGGCCTTCATATGAAAGAATGGGTCTATGTGGTCAGTGTGCACAGTCTAAAAAAAATCCTGCAGCACACGGTGCATAATGAGAAAAAAAAAACTTTTTCCATTTTTTTTTTAATAAATCAGCGACTTTGCAGTGTATTTTCGTATAGTATTTATTGTTGTATTCTAGTTTTCTTGGTCTCATTTTATAGAATGGAAGACATATTACTGAAATTGAGATGATTTTGACTGGTTTTACAATGAAAGGTGCCTTGAAATTGAGCTCAAAGTAGCAGAAATGTTCAATTTTTACCAAACTTCCAAAGTAAACAAATCGTGCCAAGCGTGCAATACAAGTCAACTGGTGAGTCTGATATTCTTTCACAAGTGCACCAATAATATTTATACCATTTTTTACACTAATGCAGTAGTCTGCATAACAGTAAATCTTATATTTTTTGTGAGAATAAAAATTCAAAGTGGAAAGCAAAAGAATATAAGAGGGGCCTTGAGACGTGACTAATGACTAGAGGAAATGTCATTTTAGTGCCAGGAATGTCTTTCTTGTTTATTCTGGACCCTATTCCGAAATTGGCATCTTTTGAAATTTGTGTGAAATTGGCAAAATTGCTAAATTCTGACCACTGTACTGGATAGTTGAATTTATAAATGGGTGGTTTCTTGGACCCATTCGATAGAAAAAATGGAGTTCTAGCGAAATATTCATGTTTTTTGTCGACTAGTACAGTGAAATTGGCCTAAAATGGGGCTCAAAGTGGGCAAAATCGCCGATCCGTAAACATCGCCGAGACCGCTAACTTTGCGAGAGCATAATTCCGTAAGTTTTCTATCAAATTTCAAACTTTTGGTGTCGTTATGATCGGGAAAAGATTCTCTATCTTTTCATAAGAGAAAATATTTTTTTTTTTTTTTTAAATTTGGCCGACCCTGAGAACGAGTTTCGGAGAGGGCCTGTCGACCCTCAAAGGGTTAAGAACGTTTACTGTTTCAGTCCATCCTGGACAACTGTCAAGTTGTCTAGGATGGTTCATAACATTGTTTTAACTTGTATTTCATAAGTATGGGTATTTTGTGACTGCTGCACATCTGCAGCCAACTTATTCTCACATAAACCATGGAACTGGTGGGGATTGAACCCATTGCAAGTAGTCCTACAACTCCATACCTTGATTATAATAATAATAATACAACTCCATACCAATGCCTAAGTCACTTGGCCAGCTGGCTGCAATAAGATTCATTCAGCTAGGTATATTTCTGTACACCATAGGGAGGTCAGAATGGGCTCAATGCCAACTTCCCTATGGTGTACACAATGGCTTACACATTGGCCTGGAGTTTTAGATTCACTTGCCATGGGTTCAGTCCCCACCCATTCCTTGGTTTGTTTGCAATCGTGTTATTACGATTCCACGAGTTATTCTCGCATGTGATACACCTGTACATTTGAATGTTTCATGGTGCTGCTCACTAGCTGTATTGCTGTCTGGACTGCTCTTTTAATTAGTGGCTAAATATAGAGTTTGTTTATGTAACCTATCCCATCCTAACTTGAAAGAAAAAATGAAAGCATTTGTAAGTATATAACTAGCATAAGGAAACTGGTGTAAATCCTTTAAGAAAGTTTATGTATTGCAGTGAAATGAGGGTAAGTTGCTCTAGTACTGTATTCTTATATCCACACCCTACCTCTTTGGTCTTTTCCTTAAGTTATCTTGCACTAACCCACCTGTCTTTCAACAGTTGCTATTACGGCACCTTGCACTTCCCATCACAATTTTGAGTCCATTTGCTTACTGTTCTCTCTCACCTACTGACACCATCCTCCATATTACCTTACTGTAGCTGCTACTGAAGGACTTGATATGTCAATAGCTTCTCCAAAAGCACATGTCCAGAAGTCTATCTTCATCCTTTTATCCACTGATACATCGTTTAGAAAACTGCTGTCATTGCACACATGATTAACATTTTCAGTATTAATTAGTAGTAAGGAAGACTGCATATATACAACCTCTGGTAAGGATGATTTGATTGTTGAGTTCTTAGTACTGGAAGAAAATACAGTAATATATATTTTCTAGGTGAGGCAAATGTAATCGAAGAGTTCCTGATAACAGAACGCAAAAAGAAGGTCCCAGTTGCTGGTTGCCGATGTGTCAGAGGGGTTCTCAAAAAAGAAGCACTTTACAGAGTCATAAGAGGACAAGATATTATTCACGAGGGTGAGTAAATTCTCTTAAAGGATCCTTGTTTGCTTTTTATTTGTAAGCTCTTTTTTCTCCTTAATACTCTGGAGGTTACATTAGGTAGGTTTTTTAGCATGAGCAGCCCTTTAAAGGGCTTGTAAGTTGAAGAGCTCTTGATATGAAGAATTAAAGCCACTCTCTCCTTCCTCTATTCAAACCTAATTGCTTCCTATTCCTCAGGTGCTAGGAAGTTTAGTATTTCTGTGAATATATTATCCTCAATTATGTAAGTAAACACAGTCTTCCACTTCACTAATGCCTGTGTCTGTTGTACAGGACTTGAACAAAAGATACACAATCTGTTCTTTGTAATTCTCCCTTCAGTGGGTTTCAAGTTTTCCTGCTCTAGCAGCCAGTCTTGTCGGGTGCTTGCTTGATCAACGCCTTGTCTGTAACTTTTATGCAGTCTTTAATTTCAGCCTTACATGCACCACTCCTTTTACTGGGTGATTTTAAATCTCATCATTTGCTCAAATGAGCAGAGGAAACCTTTCTTTTCTCACTCCTCTTCCTCTCCCCTCTCTTAAACACTAGTGCTCCTGCACATCTAGATACATGAACCAGTACCGTCTAATATAGATACTGTATCAATCTGTTCTTTCTCAATAGCTCAATTTGATTGGATAGTAGTAAATGATCTACATGACAGTGATCATTTCCTTATTCTTATTAATATTCTTGCACCTGGCCATTATCATCCAATCAGCCAAGCATGGAAAACAGCACTCACAAATCTGCCATATACAACTACCTATAGATACCATGTATCTCTGAGACTGCCAGGTGGCTTTAACAGTTAGTTAATCATATACAGTGGACCCCCGGTATACGATATTAATCCGTTCCTGAGAGCTCATCGTATGCCAAAATTATCGGAAGGCGAATTAATTTTCCCCATAAGAAATAATGGAAATCAAATTAATCCGTGCAAGACACCCATAAGTATGAAAAAAAAAATTACCACAAGAAGACATGCACAGTTTGTAGTACTCTACTAACAATAGAATACATGACACTTGCCTTTAATGAAGATCTGGTGATGATTGATGGGATGGGAGGAGGGGAGAGTGCTGAAGTTGTTAATGTTTAGAAGGGGAATCCCCTTCCATTAGGACTTGAGGTAGCAAGTCCTTTTCTGGGGTTACTTCCCTTCTTTTAATGCCACTAGGACCAGCTTGAGGTCAGTGGACTTCTGTCACACAACATATCTGTCCATAGAGGCCTGTACCTCTCGTTCCTGTATGACTTTTCTAAAGTGGTTCACAACATTGTCATTGTAATAGTCACCAGCACGGCTTGCAATAGCTGTGTGAGGGTGATTGTCATCCATAAAGGTTTTCATCTTTGTCCACATTGTACACATTTCTTTTATCTGTGAAGTAGGCAACTTTTTCAATTTCTCTATCCCCTCCTCCGAAGCAGTGTCCTCAGGTCTGGCCTCTTGCTGTTGAAGATGATCTAGCAGCTCATCAGTGGTTAGTTCTTCATTGTTCTCCTCCACGAACTCTTCCACATCCTCCAACCCCAAGGACTTCCCCAATGCCACAATGGATTCCTCAACTGGCATAGGATTCCCAGGGTTAGCCTCAAACCCTTCAAAATCCCTTTTGTCTACACATTCTGGCCACAGTTTCTTCCAAGCAGAGTTCAAGGTAATCTTAGTCACTCCCGCCCAAGCCTTACCTATAAGGTTTACACAATTTTAGAGTCAATTGAGTGTCTGTGGTCACTTCAAAGCACTTTTGAAACATAGCTTTTGTGTACAGTTTCTTGAAGTTGGAAATGACCTGCTGATCCATGGGCTGCAGGAGAGGAGTGGTATTAGGAGGCAAAAACTTGACCTTAATGAAGCTCATGTCCCTAGAAAGTCGCTTTGCCAAGTCTGTAGGATGACCAGGGGCATTGTCTAATACCAGGAGGCACTTAAGGTCTAATTTCTTTTCAGTTAGGTAATTTTTCACATTGGGGCAAATGCATGGTGTAACCAGTCATAGAAAAAGTCCCTAGTGACCCATGCCTTAGTGTTTGCCCTCCACAGCATACACAAATTAGCCTTGAGGACATTGTTTTGCCTGAAAACTGGGAGTTTCTGAGTGATACACCAATAAAGGCTTCACTTTGCAATTACCACTAGCATTGGCACACATCAGAAGAGTAAGCCTGTCTTTCATAGGCTTGTCCTGGGAGTGCCTTTTCCTCCTGAGTAATGTAGGTCCTGCTTGGCAATTTCTTCCCAAGCAGGCCTGTTTCATTGCAATTAAACACTTGTTCAGGTTTAAATTCTTCACTATCTATGTAATCCTTGAATTCCTTCACATATTTTTCAGCTGCTTTTTGGTCCAAACTGGCAGCCTCACCATGCCTAATCACACTATGTATGCCACTACGATTCTTAATCTTTCAAGCCAACCTTTGCTGGCCTTAAATTCACTCACATTACCACTAGTTGCAGGCATTTTTTCTAATTAAATCCTCATGCAACTTCCTAGCCTTTTCACGTATGATCGCTTGAGAGATACTATCTCCTGCTATCTGTTTTTCGTTTATCCACACCAATAACAGTCTCTCAACATCTTCTATCACTTGCGATCTCTGTTTCGAAAACAGACATGCACCTTTTAAAACAACAGCTTCCTTGATTGCCGTTTTCCTGGCCACTATAATAGCGATGGTTGATTGGGGTTTTGTATACAACCTGGCCAGCTCCGACACACGCACTCCACTTTCGTACTTTGCAATTATCTCTCTCATTTCAATAGTCATTAGCACCCTTTTTCTCGAAGGGTTGGCACTAGAAGCTTTCTTGGGGCCCATGGCGACTTATTTTGCAGAAACAAGTACCAGAAACACTGTGATAATATGGAATGTACCGAATGTATACTTAGATGCAAGTACATTGGCTGGCTTGTAAACACTGGCATGCACGGGGCAGTTCAGGCCACATGTGGACGCGTCCCAGACGAATCGCGTGTGGCGGGTTTTTTAACGAGTGGCAAGGCAAAATTTTTGCATTAAATTGTATCGTATTCCGGATTTAACGTATACCGGGGGTCCACTGTATTAATAGATTGTCCTGTCTATCAGGGGACACAAGATTTGCTTCCACACAACACACAGATGATTTTGTATCTGTGAGCACAGACTAACACTACACAAATATAAAGGTTTTAAAGAGGAAATTGAATGGACATGTACCTCTGCCAAGTGCCAGATCAACAAGACTGATGAATATATGGGCCAGAGGGTCACTGGAACTGCAAGAGTAAGAAAGCTCTCAAAAACCTTCAAAGGTATATCAAAAGTACTGTATATAACACTACTTGACCTTACTGATAGTCGCATCCTTAATGTAGACTTAGCTCTTCCTTTTTTGACATTAAATAATTGCACCAGTCACAAACACCCCACCTTCATTGTATGACCTGAGCAAGTTCAGAGCAAGTTTTAACATAATAAAGCCCAACGGAAAACATTAATGCTTTCCCCAAAATTCATTGCAAGTCGAGTATTTAGAATCTATTTTTCCATAAACAGGTTTAAATGAATTAATGCATTCCCAATCCCTAATTTAACATGTCTAATTTCAGTTAATTTTCTCCCTACAAGAATTCTTTCCCAGTCTTTTACTTTCACTATTCTTTTTCAGTTTCACATGTTGTACAACAAAACTATTTCTACTATGAGTACACGTTTATTAAAGCAAACAGATGAAAATTTAAACAATACTTTATGTACAGTACTTACCTTGAACATTGATCCTGTCTTGCACATTGGAAGGGATGTTTCTAGATTATTTTAAGTAGTCCCTACTATTAGAAGTGCAAGTCACTTGTTCATAATCATTTCCAAAATGCCCATGTTATGCATGCAAAACATCCAAACTCAGAATGCCATAAGTCAGGACCCTATTAATAATAATTAGTCAATTTCTGGGAGGGATAGGCAACTAGAGTGCAATTATGATGTTAATATGACAAATGTAGGTCCCACACTCACCATTTCTTGTGATGCAAGGTAATATTATCAATGTTTGATTTGTATGACAGTGGGAAAGATTATTGATGATCGATTTGGTTTAAGTATGACCTATTTTATTCTCTCATTTACAGGGTTGTTGTCATCAATGTACCATATTAAGTCAGAAGTGGCCACTATTACTAGGGGCAAGGAATGTGGACTCAAGTTTGTGGATGAATTGTTAAGGTTTCAGCCTGGAGACACACTAGTCTGTTACCAAATGAACAAGGTTTCACAGGTCACAGACTGGGATCCAGGCTTCTAGACAAACTCTAGCAATCATGTAACAATTATGTAGGGTAGGGTAAAAGCATGATGATAATGTACCAGAAATCATGTACTGTAATAAACTTGATTCAGTTCAATACGCAAGAAATTTTTGTAGTCATACCCATACAAGAAACAGTGTAACAGAATTGATTGCCTTTTCATGTTGGCATAATACTAATACCAATACTTAAAGAAAGTTTAAGCTTAAAAACAAAGGTTATCACATTTTCCATAGGTATCAATCATTAAACAAAAAAGCCAAATTTGTTTGTGCTGCTAACACAGAATATGATTAAATATTTTTAGCATAGAACATATAGGTTAAGAGAATCTTTCAAAAAATATTTACCAGCTTACTGAAACCAATTTTATTTTTTAATGTATGAACCTTAGTGCTTCCATATTAATATATTCAAGTTATTATATTTAGGGGAAATGGCAAATCCTGCAGAATGGGGGGGAAATGAGGTTTAATCCAAACAAGGGAATAATAATATAATTACATGCCCAAGGAAAGGGAGGACAGATGTGATTCCTTGCATTATTATTACATTGTTGGGGGAAGCACTAAACCTGCAGAGGTCATACAACACCTGGGGGAAAAGGAAAGCATTCAGACTTTATGCAAGGAATTGGAGAACACATCCAATTCTTTAGATCTAGAGCCACTCGCAAGCATCAAAGAGCCTTCCTAGAGGTTTCCCCTGAATTGACCCCCCCATCCCCCCAATCACCAGTATCAAGGAACCTCCCTCGAGTCTTCATGGGTCAAAAACCTCTCATAAGCACTGCCCCATTAACATTTTTTCTTCAGTTATTTCTAGAATTTAAATACATTAGAACCATATTTCTGTTAAGGTTTTAGGAACCACTACTGTTAAGATTTTATTCATAATTTTTTAAACACACATGGGAGGTCACAAAGCACTTAAAGGCAGGCAGAGCTGACATCAAGGGAAAAAAAAGGGCTTATGCATTAGTGGAAAATCAAGGTGTGCATAAGAAAAAAGTTTGTAAAGAAATCAGTCTGCACTGAAAGTGGAGCTTTCCCAAATTGCATCATGGCACTGAAGAGGAAGACCAGAAATTAATTTTATGCCTTTTGATAACTGGCACAAAAGATGTTGATCTGTCAGCAAGACCAGAAATTTCTCAGAGGCACCAGGTCTCTCCAAGATTATTATTATTATTATAATCAAAAAGAAGCGCTAAGCCACAAGGGCTATACAGTGCTGCAGGGTAGGGAAGGAAGCGAGGGTATTGGATGGCAGAAGGGAGGAGGGATGATCAGTGGGTTACAGAAAACAGCGGGGCAGGGGATAGTACGGGGGTAGAGGGTAGCAAGAGATTGAAGTAGAAAGGGCTGAAGGTATCAGAATTTGTGAAGTAAGTAAGTTGTTGTCAAAAAGTCAATGAGAGAGTCTGGATGAAAGGTGGGTCCAAACAGCGAAGAAGGGAAGGTAAAGAGAGAGCAGCAAAAGAGAAGATGACGAAGGAGGTAAATTTTTTGCGTGCTCGTTGATAAAGTGGGCAGTCCAACAGAATGTGGCTGATGATAATGGAACTTGGCAATTCTCACAGAGAGGAGCAGGGCGCCTCTCCATGAGATATCCATGAGTAAGACGAGTATGGCCCAAAGCGAAGACGGGGGAGAGTTTGTCTCCCAACCTCGACACTGGTGATAAGAAGACGGCCAGTAACCTATACTCGGTTTAATAGATTGAAGTTTTTTTGCTGAGCAAGCAGACCCCAAAGTTGTTGCCCCAAAGGGTGTGAAGTTGGGAAGATATTGCAGCAAAATAGTCCGTAAATGGAATACCTCTACGTGAAACTGGTAGGTCATGTACTGCTGACTGCGCAGCAGTGTCTGCCTGTTCATTGCCTTGTACGTCAACATGACCAGGGACCCAACAAAAAACTATTTTTTATGCTTGGTAAAGGTGCGGCGTAGCCAAAGTTGGATACGGAGGACTAAGGGGTGAGGTGTATCAAATTTCTGTATAGCCTGTAAAGCACTAAGGGAGTCTGAGACAACCACAAAAAGATCACAGGCATAGATGCAATACGAATAAGTGCTGTAAGGATGGCATACAATTCAGCAGTAAAAAATACTAGCCGAAGATAGTAAATGCCCTTGTACGACGCTGTCCGGAAACACTGCTGCGAATCCTACGCCGTCAGAAACTTAGAGCCATCTGTGTACACAGCAATGGCATGAGAATGAGAGTGAAAGTGGTCAAGAAAAAAGAGAGCGGAAGCGACCGTAGACAGTTGGGCTTTTTGAGCAAGGGAGAGAGAAGAACAGACTCGAACAGCGGAACTTCCCAGGGGGGTAGGGAAAAGTGAGATGCTACATGTACATAGAAAGGTGGTAATTGAAGAGAAGACAAGAGCGAATGAAGGCGAAGAGAGAAGGGAGGAGTAAACGGGGGCGGCGACAAATAAAGAACGTCTGCTAATATAGTGACCATTCTATAAATGGAAGGATTGCGGAGATCATGAGAGCGTACATAGTAGCGAAGGCAATGGCATCACGGCGATTGGATAAGGATGGAACGTTCGCTTCTGGGATAGAGGCTCTCGACAGGGGAAGAGCGAAAAGCACCAAGGCATAAACGTATCCTTGGTGATGAATGGGGTTAAGGCTAGAGAGAGTAGCAAAGGAGATGCCGCTGAATAGATCTGGTCACCATAATCAAGTTTCGATAAAATAAGGGTGGAATGTAGGCGAAGGAGGGTTCGACGATCAGCTCCCATGAAAGATGAGAAAAGGGTTTTAAGAAGGTTCAGCCAAGTTGTGACAAGTTGCCTTCAGGAGGTAATGTGAGGGATTCCAGGATAAACCTACATCAAAGAGGAGGCCCAGAAATTTGACTGTACACGTTCAGGGATACGGGAGCCATAAGGTACAAAGGATGATCGGAGATGACAGAGCGTCTAGTGAAAGTAATTTGGGGGTTTTAGTGCTGGAAAATTTAAACCCACGTGTGGTGGCTCAATTGGAAACACGGTCGACTGCATGCTGGAGAGAAACTGTAATAAGGTGACAGTCAGCGCCTGCACAGGCGATAGCGAAGTCATCAACATAGAATGATGACCAAATATTTGATGGAAGACTAGAGGCCAAATCATTAATAGCAAGGAGAAAAAGTGTTGTGCTCAGAACACATCCCTGGGGGACACCTTCAGCTTGGATAAAGTCCGGGGAGAGCATATTAACCCGAACACGGAAATGGCTGTCGGTTAAAAAGTTCTTAAGGATGGTGATTGCCTCGAAGGCCTAAGGAGTGGGCATGGGCTAAGATATTATACCTCCAAGTTGTGTCATATGCCTTCTCAAGGTCAAAAAATATGGCAATAACTAAGTGGTTATTCGAAAAGGCATTACGAACATACGTATCCAAGCGTAGTAAGGGGTCTATGGTAGAATGTCCCTTACGAAAGCCATATTGACGAGTGGAGAGAGTGTTGTGTGTCTCTAAATACCACACTAAACGTCTATTTACTAGGCGTTCCATCACTTTGCAAACTGCACTGGAAGAGCAATGGGACGATAGGGGGAGGTTTCATGTCCCGTAGGGCCCTGGTTGCGGAAAGGGGGAGAACAATGGCGGATTTCCAAGCTGTGGAAGAACCCCTTGTGCCCAAATAAGATTGTAAAGGCGTAATAGGACTGCAAGGGCTGACTGATGTAAATGTTGTAGCATACGAATATGAATGCCGTCGGGCCCAGCTGCCGATGATCGGCAAGCTGAGAGTGTTGCCTCCAGTTTTTTGAAGTGTAAAAGCACATTATACTGTTCTTCTCTGAGAGAAGAAAAGTCCAAAGGTGCTAACTCTCTGGCAGTCTTTGAGGAAAGAAATGAGGGGCATAGATGGAGTCCCTGAGAAATACGGACCAGATGATTGCCAATTTCATTGGCAACATCTAGTGGTTTGCATAATCAACACCGGCAACCCCCAGAACAGGAGCCGGGTCAGGAGAATATTTACCACTCAGTTTTTTGTACTTTTTTCCAGATGCACTCAGAGGAAGCAGAAGTGATGGTGGAGACAATCTCGCCAGCAAGTGCGTTTAGCGTCACGGATGACACGGCGACCGATCGCACGCTTTCTGCTTAAAATCAAGAAGTCTCTCTGTGGTTCTATTGTACCGGTACCTGCCCCATGCAGAGCGTTTCAAACGTACTGCACGAGCACAAACAGGAGACCACCAAGGCACGCATTTCTGAGAATGCCTGCCTGAAGTTTGGGGTATAGAATGAGAAGCTGCGGTTAAAACGGAGGACGAGAAGAGGTGTAAAGTTCATCGATGGAGGACGAAAAAAGGACCTCTCTAAAAACAGTTAGGTGTGAGTAAAGGTTCCAATTTGCCTGATCAAATTGCCAGCGTGGGATGCGAAGAGGTGGTGAATATGAAGGGGAAGTAAGAATGATTGGGAAAAGATCGCTGTCATGTAAGTCCGGAAGAACAGACCAAGTGAAGTCTAATGCGGCGGAGGAAGAGCAGACTGGGGAGATCGATGCAAGAGAGAGTGTGAGTCCGAGGATCAAAATGGGTGTTGAGTACCTGTATTTAAAACATGGAGGGGGTGGGTGGGAAGAAAAGCCCCTAACTGAATGCCACGGGAATCACAGTGAGACCCCCCCCCCCCCCGAGGAAATGGTGGCATTAAAATCAAACCCAAATAACAGAATCGGTGGTGGGAATGACGAACAAGAAAGGCAATATCCCGGAATAGATAATGCCCCAGAAGGAGAGAGATAAAAGAAAAGAGCGTATACCACCTATGCAAGTGGATCGGGCTGCTGTGTAATGCAGCAAAGTACGAACAAATAGCTGATGGTACGGAATATCAGTGGGGTAGAAGAAGGGCACTTTCATTAAAGGTCCCTTTAGGAAAAGGATCTGAAGAATACAATAAATTATAGCCTGAGATGGGAGAGATACAGCAGAGTATAATTTTGGTTCCTGTAAGCAAAAACCAACAGGTAAAACTGGGAGAGTAACCCTCTGAAGCTCACCCCGATTACCCCTGAGGCCGCGATATTTCCACTGTAAATAGGCCATGATTGGCAATGATAAAGATACCTGAAATCCGCAGGTAAGGGTCCTACGGACTAGAGGGGTTAGAAAAGTCCACATGCGGAGGCGTGGAAACGTTCATGCAGGCGAAGGAACGGTGCCTGTGAAGAAAGGAGTTGCGCACATGGAGTAGAGGAGAGAGAAGGAGCGGAGGTTGGAAAAGTTTCCTTTGGGGGGGTTTTGCTCGGGAAAAGGAGTTCCCCAAAAAGGGGGTTTAGAAGGGGGGGGGGGGGGAAAAACCCGGGGCCCCCGGGGCCTTTCAGAAAAAACGCCCCGAAGGGGAGACAATTTTAAAAATGGTGGGGGGAAGGAGAGAAAAAGATTGGAAACGGGAAGGGACTGTACCAAGGTGGGGGGGGGGGCAAAAGGGGGAGGGAACGGGAAAGGTGAAGGGGACAGAAAGGGGCCCAAAAACCCTTTGGGAGGGGGCAGAAGGGGAAAGGGAAATTTGGGGAAGGAACGGGGGAGGAAGGAACATTTACGGGAGGAGGGTAAACCCCCCTACACTTGTAACAGAGCCTTTGAGGGGGGGAAAACCCGGAACAAAAGACAGGGAAGGGAAAATGAGGAGGGGGAAGAGGGGTAGGAGGTGTTAACGGACCTTTTTTTAAACTTTTGAAAGTAGGG